GCCAGAACTACACAAAGAAACCCTGTCTTGAAGAAAAAGGGGGGGGGGAAACCTGAGATAGGTCTTACTATGTAGCCTCGTCTAGTCTGAGCTTGCTGTGTAGAGCAGGCTTCTAACTCCCAGAGATCCACCTGCCTCTGGGATTAAAGGTGCACGCCCCGACACCGGGCAGTGACGACCTGAAACTCCTCCTGCACCCCACCAGGTAGAGAGAAAACTGAACTGACCTTCACGCAGGCACTGGAGCCCCCCACACACACACACACCCACAAAATAAGTAAATGTGAACAGTTTTGAAGCAAGAGAAGCTAGAGAGCTGGCTGAGAGTGAAGAGTTAATTCAGTGGAGGGGAGAGAGCGGGGATGGGTGGTTACATTTGAGGCTGAGTTCACACTGTGATTCGGGTTAGGGTTAAACTTGGATGAAATTTGGGGCCAAAACCAGAAACACTGGTCTGTGGCCACTGCCGCCTGAGCCTGGCTTAGAGGCCCCGGATATTCCCGAGGCCTCTCCTGTGAGGGCCTGCACTCTGCCCAAGACTCCCAGTCATCGGCCCTCCCACCCGGGAAAGTCCCAAACAGCTGTTGGCCTCCCCAAGAGAGAAACCGAATTTCACACAACCTCGAAAACTGAGATTGAAACCAAAATTGGCCCCTGGCAAGACACATCCTTCAGCGCCCTGCCAGCTCCCGTGACACAGCTTCGCAGATTCTTGCCCTTCCTCTGTCTCTCACATCGCCTCATTCTCCTCGCCTTCCTCTTTGCATCGTCCCTCCAGGTCCCAGCCTTCTTCTCTGACGGAAATCTAATCCCCCCTCTCACCGCCTCTTAATTGCAATACCACTTTCTATTTTAATACGGCTTAGCCAGGGTCTCAGTCCATCAGCTACTACCACTTAAGAGGCAGAAACAAGAGGGAGCACAAAGATTCCCAGGGAAAGGGGAACACAGAAAGGAGCCAAAGTTGACACTAACGATGTGAAAACTAAATTATCCAGCATGCTCAGGGCTGTGGGTCCCTTTGCTAGCACTTCCAAAGGTCAAAAGAACAAAAAGACAAGATAGAGATAAGAAATTACAGGGACCAAATTTGTCTGTCTGTTTGTTCAACAAAGTGTCTCGTGTAATCATATAGCTAAAGATGACCTTGAACACCTGACCCTCTGCCTTCGCTTCCCAAATATTGGGGTCACAGGCATGCATCCCCACAGCCAGCTATGGGAGGGGTAGAACCCAGGGCTTTCTGCGAGGCAGGCATTGTACCAGCTGAACCACATCCCCAAGCCCTGAAAGAGGCCTGTCTGCGTTTCCTTCCTCGTCACACCTGGGCAGTCACCCACATCTGGGCTCTGCCCTGAAGCACTTTCTCCTGAGGGTCGCCTTACACAGATGCAGGCTCCTGTCATCTTCGCGCTGGGCTGTTGCCGTGACCACTGGCCTCCGGAATGACCCCACGACCTTCCTCCATTCCTCATGTTGCTTCTAGACTCCACTTTATAACATGACAAGAGTGTCTCTCTCTTGATTAAATTTGTCGGTGGGTGGCTCTCTATCTCCTTAGAATGAAATTTAAACTTCTTTCCTTGGTTTTAAACCCTGCAGGTGAGTTCGAGGCCAGCCTGGTCTATACAAAGTGAGTTCCAGGACAGCCAGGGCTACACAGAAAGACCCTGATCTGGAAACAAAAACAAAAATAAACCTGCAGGGCGTGTTCTCTCTCGCCCACAAGTCTTTCTTTGCTTATTCCAGCTGTGCGCAGATGCACAGGTCAGCCCATGAGGGTTCTCTCATGGGCACAACGGTCCCCACCCTTGCTTACCTCCGTAATGAATACCCAGGTTCCAGGAACTTCCTGGGCTGCCTTGCCAGGGTCGTGAAACTTAAGCACATGCCTCTGAACCCCTGAAGTCAGGGATCCATGTGTCTCCCCAGTTCCTTGTGCCTGGTGTACGGTAAGAGTTTGTATTGGACGCAGGAGAGACTGTGTGGGAACCACGGGGCTCACGGCACATGCCCCCAAAGGATGGAGCCTGAGCTCGGGGAACTTCGGAATGAGCAACGGCTGAGATGTGAGAACAGTCTCTGCCTCTCCAGCCTTCTGTCCTGCCCGCATCTTCCCCCAGGGCAAGCCACCGAAACTTGAATTCCTCTTTACCAACACGGATCATGGAGACTAGAATCCTTTTTCCGTGACCTAGAAGCGCTGCCCCTCCCCCACCTTCCTGTGTAAGAACTGGTCGTAAGGAAGATGTCTGGCCCTAAGTCACAGGCCTCGTCCCACAGGGCCCTACCCCATACCCGGGAGGAAGGGCGCCAGTCAGAGCACAGTGCGAATCGGAGCAGGTCAGCACTGTGGCCAGTGGCCAGCCTGACTGCCAGCAGCCGCTGCAGCCCTCTGCAAGACTGAAGAGGACAGCCGTGGCTGTCGTCCACAGCACTCTTATAAAACACAACCAAAAGATGATTTTCATAAACTCTGCTATTTGAAAGCTGTAACTTGCAAGCTGGGTGAAAACTGGCTTATGCACACGAGTTTTCTACTCAAGTGTTTTTCAGACAAGAACTAGAAACAAACGCAACGGCCGTCACCAGCGTCCCCGCTGACTTTAACTGTTAACACAGTCTACAGTCACCTGGAACAGGAGTTGGGGGATTACCCAGGTCTGGCTGCAGGAATGTCCCTGGGGGTTGTCAACTGATGGGGGAGGGGCGGACACTGGGGCCATCCTCTGCACAGGTGATCCTGGCTTGTATAGATATCTGGATGGACGAGTGATGGCACACACCTTTAACCGCAGCACTTGGGAGGGAGAGGCTCGTCATTTCTGCGAGTTCAAGGCCAGCCTGGTGAGTCTACGTAGTGAGATCCTGTCTCTTACATGTACACGTATAAATGTATGTGTGTGTATGTGCATCTATATTGTAATAATAAAATAACTAAAGAACAAAATTTGAAAAATAGTTTGGTGATGATGATATAATAATAATAAATCTGTTTTTCAGTTATTTTCATTTTTCTGTGCATTGGTGTTTCGCACACATGTATATCTGTGTGGGGGAGTCCTCAATAATAAATCTTTTTAAGAAAGACAGCAGGACGGGCCAGCAAGATATCTCAGTGGGTGAGTGTTTGCTGCCTTCACCTAATGACCTGAGCTCACTCCGCAGACCCTGCGGGCGGAGAGAGCAAGCCGGCAGGACTGGGGCATGGGCCTCCACGTGTAACAGTGGCACTTATGCACTCCCGCACACACATAAAATAAATGTATGTTCAGCGTTCTGTTGTGTGCGTCGGATTTGGCCTGCTCGTATGTCTTAGCACCGCTTGAGTGTGGTGCCTGCAAAGGCCAGCAGGAGGCGTGACATCCCCCAGAACTGGAGGTTCCAGTGTGAAAAGTCAACATGTGGGCGCTGACAGCTAACACTGGTCCTCCGGACAGATGTGTGTGCCAGGGACTAACGCCTGTCCTCTGGACAGTTGTGGGTGCCAAGAGGTAACACTGGTCCTCCGGATGCATGTGGGTGCCAAGAGCTAACGCAGGTCCTCCGGACGGACAACCAGCGCTCAGAACGGCTAAGGCATTTCTCCAGCCCTCAAAATAAGTAAATATTTTAAAGTTTTGTCTTAAGAAAGAAACAACCAATGTGGCTGCTGAGCTGTGGGGTTGGGACCCGGGGCTCACACACGCCTGGCGAGCAGGACACCTGAGCTGCACCCCAGGCCGCTGGTGCAGAGTACAGGAAGGCTGGGGTGTGTGTTCGGGGATTAGAAGTCTGATGTGCGGGGAATCCCTTCAGGGATGGGCTGAGACCTTAGAGACGGCTGCAGCGGGGTTCTGAGGGAAACCCCCAAACCATCTTCCAGACCTGGACACTCCAGACAGGTTCCCAACCTTCCCACACTTCAACCCTTTAATACGGTTCCTCATGTTGCGGTGACCCCAGCCACGAAATTATTTTCGTTGAAGCTTCATAACTGTGATTTTGCTGCTGTTACAAATCATTGTGTAAATGTTGTTGAAGACAGAGGTTTGTCAAGGGGGGCCGCGACCCACAGGTTGAGGACTGCTTCTCTAGCGCATAACGGGGTGCAGTTAAGCTTGTCACACCAGGGTGCCCAGACGGGGCAGGGGAGGGGTGGGGTGTTCTGTAATGGAGCTCCTTGACATGAAACTGGCAGTTGACCAGAAAATACAGATACAGGAACAAGTGTGACTTGAACCCCCAAAGACAAGAGAGGAAATGTACCTGAAGGGGTGGAAGGCCTGTCTAGCATGCATGAGACCCTGGGTTCAAACCCTCCCCCCAAAAAAAAGGTGCGGCTAGGCCTGTGGCTAGCGAGCCCTCCAGATGTGAGCAGTCAAGGGTGCGGAGGTGGCATGAACCCTGCTCTTCAGGGAACCCGGCTTCCAGTCACGGCCCAGCGGCGCCCCTCCACCTCCACGAATCACTGGGCCCTTCCCGGGAAGGCCGAGGCCTGGGCCTGCTCCCCGAGAGTCCCTGCAGCCCACAGTCGCCTGACCCCGCTCCCTTTCCCAGAACTCAGCTGTCTGAGCCCCGGGCCTGCGGTTCTCTCCTCGGCCTCAGCCTTTCCTGCCTTCGGCTGAAACGGAGCATCTCCGAGCCCTGGGGGCTTCCCCAGGCCCCAGCCCCGACCCAGAACCCGCCCGCCGCCTGCCTCGCCGCCGCTTCCTCTATAAAGGGACCCAGCGAGGCGCCCGGGACCCCGCACAGCAGGTGAGTCCTCCCGGGCCTGCCCTTCCGTGCCACCTGCCCGGGTCCCCGGGCTCACGGGTCTGGGCCCCGTGGCTTTGAGTTTGGTCTGTTCCCGCGCTGTCTAACTCGGTCATCTGTCCTCCTCTCTCTGGCCCTGTCATCCTCCGCCCGGTTCTCCTGCGGTTCTCTCCCCTCCGGGGCTCTGGCCTTCCCTCCCTGTGCGCCCACCTCGCGTGCGCCCCGCCCCCGCCGCGCACAGCGCCCGCCGTCTGCAGGTTCTCTCCATGCCGGCGCTGGGGCGACTCCACCTCTCGAGGGTGCTCGGCGCGCCCGCGGCCCTCCTCCTGGGGCTGCTGCTGGCCCTGCCTCTAGCCACGCAGGTGAGGCAGCGGAGGGTGGGCGCCGGGGAGGCCTGGGCGGCCGGACGCCTCCCAACTCTGTCCTCCCCCAGGGGCTCTCCTCGGCGGGGACGGCTCGCCGCCCTCCTCACAAGCAGCCGGCCCTCCTGAAGCCCGCGGCTCACCTTGTTGGTAAACTTGTGCCCCCAGAGGTCCAGCCCCGGCTCTTCTGCCTGCCCAGGGCCCCGGGTCCCGCCGCCGCCTCCCAGCGGCCCCGCCGCGGCCTCCCGGGGGACGGTGACCTCTGACCTCTGACCTCGCCCTCTGACCTTCCTTCCTTCCCAGGCTACCCCGGCCAGCAGAGCTCCCTGCTCTGGAGGGCGACCACGGACCGCGCCTTCCTGCGCCACGGCTTCTCCCTGAGCAACAACTCGCTGCTGGTGCCCGCGGGCGGCCTGTACTTCGTGTACTCGCAGGTGCTCTTCCGGGGAGCCGGCCGCCCGCCCCGGGCCGCGCCCGTCTACCTGGCCCACGAGGTGCGGCTGCTCTCGTCGCAGTACCCCTCGCACGTGCCGCTCCTCAGCGCGCAGAAGTCGGTGCCCCCGGGACTGCGGGGGCCCTGGGTGCGCTCGCTCTACCAGGGCGCCGTGTTCCTGCTCAGCAGGGGCGACCGGCTCTCCACGCGCACCGACGGCGCCGCCCGCCTGCACTTCAGCCCCAGCAGCGTGTTCTTCGGGGCCTTCGCCCTGTAGGGTCCGCCCTGCCCGTCTGGAGGGGCACACCGCCTCCCCTGCCCACCCCCACCGTCTCAAGCCTTCCCCACCCCACTCCCGGGAGCTGGCGCCAGGGCGCCCGAGGCCCTCCCGGGGAACCGCAGCTTCCCCGGGGCTCCAGATGCTCAGCCGAGGACCCCAGGCCTCCCAGCTGTGGACGGGGTCTGCGTGGGTCTGTGTGGGCCAGAGACCTGGATGCGGAGGACGGACAGGCGTGGGGAGGGCCGGAGCCGGGGCAGGGAGACTATTTATGAAGAGAACGGCTAAGTTATTTATTTATGGAGACTAGAAGGAGGGGAGGGGCCGCAGGTGACAGCTAGGCCCCAGACACGTGGCCTGAGGCAGCATCAGGGCAGGACTCCTCTGCCAGATGGAGGGACAGAGAAGTAGGTGTGAATGGCCGAGGGTTACGGGAGGAAGCGAAGGGCCCCAAGGGCCACCGCTTGGCTAGGCATCCTCAAGGCGCCTGTGCACTCAGTGAAACCCAATAAACCTCCTTTCTCTGAAATCGCGTCTGCTCGCCTGTGTCTGGGCTGGGGGAGAAGGCTGCCGGGGTCTAAGGAGGGAGGTCTGCGGGGGTCAGGGGCTGTGGGCAGAGCAGGAGATCCGAAGGAGCCCGGAGCCCGCGGCTCCTGGCTCCTGGGGCTACGCCAGGTGTGTGGAGAGGGGAGGAATGAGGGCTCGGGGAGGAGAGCCCACACCAGAGCGTGGGAGAAGTCCAGGGAGCCGGTAACGGTGGACGGCATGAAGCCGGAGGAGTTGGCAGGGATGCTGGGGGCGTGGAACAGGGGTGTCCAAGGGAGGAGGCAGCACCTCGAGGCTGCACAGCAGGGGCTTTGCGAAAACATTCCTTGGAGGCCGAGACTGAAAGCGGCAGCCCCAGCTCGTGGTCAGAATGAAAGGAGAAGGCCGGCCTCGTGGGGTCCGTGAATTCCCAGGGCTGAGTTCATTCCCGCTGGGGCTGCCCCAGGCTCGTCCCTGGTACTCCCACCAGCCTCCCCAAGGCCAGGCTCACTCCTCCTCGCAGGCCACTCTCTGCTCAGCCACTTCCTCCAAGCACCCAGACAGGGGCCTTCCCTCCCCAGTGCCCCCCCATGCACCCAGCTTTCCGAAGCACCCCCAATGCCAAGTTCTAGCCCAGGGAAGTCCCGTTTAGAAATCAAAGGGAAATTGACACAGACATAGTATCTCTGCAAAGAAACAATTATTAACACTGGAGGGCAAAGAGGAAATGGGTTTCAGTTTCCTGGGCCCTACCACACACACACACACACACACACACTACTGATTGGCCCAAGATTGCCACAGAATCCCGGTGGGGCCGGGGAGGAGATTCCTTGATGCCGGGCGTCCCCAACTTTCCAAACCTCTGCCCCCACAGCAGAGAAGAAACCGAGACAGAGGTGCAGGGCGCCACCGCTTCCTCCACATGAGATCATGGTTTTCTCCACCAAGGAAGTTTTCCGAGTGCTGAATGAGAGCCTTTCCCCGCCCTCTTGCCCAAGGGCTATAAAGGCAGCTGCCTGCACAGCCAGCCAGCAGAAGCACCCTCAGCGAGGACACTGGGAGGGAGAGCAGCCACCCAGCCAGCGCCCCTGGAAGTAGCTCCCAGCCAAGCGAGCAGCCAGCAGGGCAGGTTCTGTCCCTCGAGTACACTGGCCCGAGGCGTCGCATCTTCCTCTAGAAAGGCCGCCATGAGCAGAGAGAGCATGATCAGCGACATCGAGCTGGCAGAGGAGGCGCTCCCCCAGAAGGCGGCGGGTCCCCAGGGCTCCAGGCGCTGCCTGTGCCTCAGCCTCTTCTCCTTCCTGCTCGTGGCGGGGGCCACCACGCTCTTCTGTCTCCTGAACTTCGGGGTGATCGGCCCCCAAAGGGAAGAGGTGAGTATCCGGGCAGCCGAAGCAGGGTGGGAGGCAAGAGAGGCAGGCTAGGAGGGGAAGAGGCCGGCTGCTGGGCGCAAGGCCTGCGGAGGGAGAGGAGACGCAGACCAGGTGGAGAGTAACGGTTGGAAGACAGACAGACCGCAGGATCTCAGACCCCTGCAGCCAGCTCAGGAAACACCCTTCATGGACGCAGGGAGGAATGAACGGGTGACCAAGCCTGTGCATACACTTGTAGAGATGTGGACAGAGATGCGGCCAGAAGGAGAGGGAAGAAGCAAGAGATAAAGACCTGAGACAGAGATAAGGGAGGTCGGAGTGGTGAGCGGAGAGATGAGGGGAGATAAAGCAAGACGAACCGCTCAGGACGCTGCACAGAAAGATGCCGCACAGTTGTGCGAATGAATGAGCAGAGCCGAGGGGAAGAAGAAAAACCAGATGTGGGGCAAAGAGGAGGGGGGCGCTTCTCCTTTGGGGCCACTCTTCAGCTACTAACCGCCTTCTCTTCCCACACAGAAGTTCCCGAATGGCCTCCCCATCATCGGCTCCATGGCCCAGACCCTCACACTCAGTACGTGGTCCAAGCTTCTCTCTTAATCTAGGATGGAGGGGGCAGTGAGCCCGGGGGTGGAAGAGTGGGGAGGGCTTGAGGCTTCGCTGAGGGAGGGAAGGGAATGGGGTCCATGGACACGGGTGCCTGCCGGGAAGCCTCGGGATCTCATCTTCGCCTCTCTTCTTCCCTTCAGGGTCCTCTTCTCAGAATGCCAGCGACAAGCCTGTGGCCCATGTCGTAGGTGAGAGCCATGCACTGTGTCTTGGGGTGAAGGGACAGGATTTGGGGGGTCAAACCAGGCTGAGAATAGCCAGAACTCGGAGGCAGGATGTGAAAGAGCCAAAGGGAGGTGATTGGAAAGCAAGGCGTCAGCGGGACCTCGAGGCCGACTCGGGCAGACAGAGGCTGCAGGAACCGGAAGTGAGGCGTGGGTAGAACCCGAGGCTCAGGGTGCGGAGTGTGAACCAACCGACAAGGTCGCACTGACTCAACTCTCTCTCCCTCAGCCAACCACCAAATGGAGGAGCAGCTGGAGTGGCTGAGCCGGCGTGCCAACGCCCTCCTGGCCAACGGCATGGAGCTCAAAGACAACCAGCTGGTGGTGCCCTCAGACGGGCTGTACCTCGTCTACTCCCAGGCCCTCTTCAAGGGACAAGGCTGCCCCCACTACGTGCTCCTCACGCACACCGTCAGCCGCTTTGCTGTCTCCTACCAGGACAAGGTCAGCCTCCTGTCTGCCATCAAGAGCCCCTGCCCCAAGGACACACCTGAGGGGGCCGAGCCCAAGCCCTGGTACGAGCCCATCTACCTGGGAGGGGTCTTCCAGCTGGAGAAGGGAGACCGGCTCAGCGCCGAGGTCAACCTGCCCCAGTACTTAGACTTTGCTGAACCTGGGCAGGTCTACTTTGGAGTCATCGCTCTGTGAAGCGAACGGGCAGGCGTCTGTCTGTCCGTTCCCTACCCAGCCCCCACTTGGACCCTTTCATTGTCTGCTCCTCAGAGCCCCAATCCATCTCCCTCAAACTTAGAAAGGGAGCTAGGACTCTGAGCTCAGAACTTTGCCGCTGTAACACTCAGAAACACGCGCTGCAGGGATGGTGGCCTGGACGGTGGGTTCTCACGAGCCACCATCAAGGATGCAAACGGGCTTTCAGAAGTCAGTGTCGCCTCAAAGCCCGATTCCTGGCCTCTGCAAAGGGGCAGGGGGAGGTCGGGCTGCCTCTGGCTCAGAATGCTTCTGGGGTCTCAGGGCTTCCTGTCTCCAGTTTCCAGGCTCTTCCCCGAGTCGCGGTGCCCAGCCCTCCTCACAGAGCCAGCCCCTCTATTTATAATTGCACTTCTGATTATTTATTTATTATTATTTATTTATTTATTTGCTTATGGATGTATTTATGTGAAGGGCCGGGTGTCCTGGAGGACCCAGTGTTGGGAGCTGTCCCAGACAGTCATGTTTTCTGTGAAAACAGAGCTGGACTATCAGCTCCTCCCACCCGGCCTCCCCGGCCCACCGCCTTCCTTTTGCTTATGTTTAAAACAAACTATTTATGTAACCCAGTTGTCTTAATGCTGATGTGGTGGCCAGGCTGCCGCCACATCACTGAACCTCTGCTCCCCACGGGAGCCGTGACTGTAATTGCCCTACGGGTGTGTGCAAAAATAAAGATTGCTTGAAAAAGAAGTATGATTTGTCTTGGGATGTAGTCTGCGTCTCTCCCTGGAGGTGAGAAGCCAACCCTACAGTCTTCCCTCCAGAGGCCTCCGGTCTCTGGGTCCAGACCTCAGCCTTTATGCCCCTAGGTCATTAAGACCCCACGGAACAGAAGCCAGCCAGCATCTCCACCTCTCCCCGGAAACAGGAGCCCAAACCTAATTACCTTTGCCTCTGGGCACGGGAATTTCCCGCTCTGGGAATTCCGAATACCTGCCGGGAAAGTACTGCCGTTCTTTCCGGCTGTGTGGCTCGGATGGAGCTGGGGAGGAGCCACATTCTCAGGTACCTGAATCACAGCCAAGGAAGAGCCCAGAGCTTCAGGTGTCCGGGCTCCAAGCACTAACCGTGCTCCCTGAGCCATTCACCCTCCCTCTGTGCAGACGAGCAGGCCGGGCCATAGAGAGAAGAGCTGCGCTCCACCTGTGCTGGTTTCCTGCTGGACAGGGCCAGCTCAGCCCCTCGGCCTTCACCTGTGCAGGTTCCCGGCTGGACAGGGCCGGCTCAGCTCTCTCCTCCTCCCAGCCACCAGCCTCCTTGTTCTTCCCACCCTCTGAAGATGAGAGAAGTGTTTTCAAAAGACACAGGACTGAAAGTGTGGCTCTGCAGAGTGTGTCCGGGTGGGGTGGGGGAGTGCTTAGAGTCTGGAATGCCCTGAAGTCAAACTCCAAGACAGCGACAACAAAGAAGGGGTTCCATGTGGGTGAAGGAGCTGTCGCCAGCCTTGGTTTCCCCAGTGTTTTGACAAATGATGACTGTGTGAGGTGGGTGGATTAGAAAGAGAAAAGTACCATGTTTAAATCCCCCCCTTTTTTAATTACTTAATCACACATGCAGGGCCTTGAATTTGATCCCACCAATAATAATAATGATATAATAATTTATTGCTGTTGTTGTTATTCAATAGTGCTTGCTGAAGCGTGTAAGGTCACCTTTATTCAGAACTGGTTATTGGTGCCGAGACTGTGGGGGACGCAGAGCCAGAGCAGGGTGGGCGTTGGGGGATGGCAAACGGTGAGGAAAGACAGGTCAGGGGTAGGGGGACTGTGTCTAAACAGCTCGCACCAGCGCCTGCTGAGACAGGCCGGGCGAGCAGACATCACCTCGGGCTGTGGAGGATGACTGGGGTGATGAGCTGTGGGGGAGGGGGCTGACGAGCCCACTGCATGGGCTTTTCCCTAAAACTAGACTGAACAAGGAAGGCGACGGCAGGGAGAAGATTCAGGAGCCAAAGCCGGTCACCCTCTCGCCCCACCGGAAGGCAGAGGCAAATAAGGAGCTGCTGTGTGGCCTTGAGCCCCAATGCCTGGGAGGCAGAAGCAGCCAAATCTTCAAGAGTTTCAAGTCCAGGCCAGAGTGGTCCACATAGTTAGACCCTCTCTCAGAAAGGAGGGGGGCTGGAGTGGTTGAGAGCTCTGACTGCTCTTCCAAAGGACCTGGGTTCAATTCCTAGCACCCACATGGCAGCTGTAACCTCCTGTAACTCCAGTTCTAGGGATCTGACACCCTCACACGAATGCACTTAAAACAGAAGTAAATAAATGGTTAAGGAAACAAGAAAAGAAAGATAATGGAATTGGAAGTGGAACTGCAGAGAGCGTCAGCCCACTGGGCTCACAGCGGGCTGGGCCGCCCTTCACCCCATAGCCAAGAGGGGAAAATCATGTGGTATGTTCCAAGGTTGGGGTGACCTAGATAGAACCCTGGTTTCCCCTCCACCTCCTCCAGCCAGGGTGTCCCAGCTGGAGGGGGGGTTCAGTGTGAGCAAAGGGTGAGGACTTTCCATTTCCACCAAGCGCCCCAGGGCAAGAGTCAGTTTCCTCTGTGACCTCCTCAGCATGACCTCCTCAGCCACGTCTCCATCCTCTCCCGGCTCCCCTGCTTCTCTCCTTTGCTTTCTTCACCCGGCTGCCCCCTTAACAGCCTGGAACTGACCCCTCAGACAACAGCTGTCCGAGCCCATGTTGACACACGCCCTTATCTCCAGCACTCAAGACAGGCGGGTCTCTGAGTTTCCAGGTCAGCCTGGTCCGCAGAGCAAGTTCCAGGCGAGCCAGGCCTATATGTGAGCCTGCCTATAGATAGGTAGGAAGGAAGGTAGGTAGGTAGATAGATAGATAGATAGATAGATAGATAGATAGATGAAGAAATGGGGAGAGAGAGAGAGAGAGGTAGCTGCTGTCGGGCAGCCAGCGGTGGGGAAGCTCACGGCCCACAGGGCTCTCTGTTCCTCAGTCTTGTGCGCGTTTTCTCTCTGGGAACGAATACTGTCCACCTTCCCGTGTGGACTCCAGAGGGCACGGCCAGGGGCAGAGGCCAGGAGAAAGGGCGTATGTGAGGGGGTCTTGCGGGGACCAGGTTTTTAGTACTTTGTGGGTTCTTCTTTTTTGTACCCTTTATCCCCACTCGCCCCCCAGTGTCACCCCCTAACACTAGACAGGAGAGAAAGGGGATGGGGGGAGGAATTTAGGAAAACCCCTGACTCTAATTTTTTTGTTGTTTCTTCTTTGACCACAGCTACGAACAAACCGCAACCAACCTCCCTAACGACCTGGCACTCGGGGTTTCACTGCCCCTTCTGCCCTCCACCTGGACCCCTGGCGGGCGCCAGAGCCTCGGGGTGGGCGCGGCGGGTGCCCACACCCCAGGCGGGGCGGCCCCCCCCCCCCTGCATGCTCCCCAGAATCAACTCCACGCCTGCATTTCCACGAAGGCACGCCGGCACGGGCCAGCGGCAGGGATCGCACGCTTTATTTTCCGAATTCGCGTCCTCCCCACCCCGCCCGCCCCGCCCCCGGCCGCGGGCTCGCCGGCTTCCTCCGCGGGCGCGCGCGGCCGTCAGGCCACCATCACCGCCCCGAAGAAGGTCTTGCCCCTGCGGTAGTCCACCATGTCGGGGTGGCTGATGTTGGCGTACAGCCTCTGGCCGCCCCGCAGCTGCACCAGGCCGCCGAAGCCCACGCTGGTGTACCACAGGGCGCCGAGGCGCGCGGGGTCGGCGGCGGGGCTCACGGTCTCCGCGCCTTCCAGCAGCAGCTCGGGGCCGCCGCGCCCGGAGGCGCCGCCCGCGCGGTACAGCGCGCTGCGCAGCGTGAGCGGGCGGCCGCCAGGGGGCGCCCTGCCGCGGTACCCCACGTGGCAGTACACGAAGTAGACGCCGTCCCGCGGCAGCGCCAGCCCGCCGGCGCGCGAGAACCGCGCTCCGCTCCTCAGGAACGCCTCCTCCTGGCTGGCCTCCCAGCCGAGCCCCGGCCCGCTCCTCCAGGCGCCTGCGGGGAGGGGGACACGCGCGGGCTGCGGCCTCCGCGGGGGACCGCAGCGGGCGGGGCTCCCCACCCGGGCCCCGCGGGGAGGGCGGGGGGACGATGCTGCCCGCGAGGCCCTGGCTGGCCGGATCCCGTCCTTTCTCTCCCTTTCAACCCGTTTCCAAGGGAGTCGGGGGGGGGGGGGGGGGGGGCGGGGGGGCCGCCGCGGGGGGGGGGGGGGGGGCCCTGGCCCGCCGTGGGGTGGCACTGCCCGCGTCCACCCGAGGAGCTTACCTATGAGGTGGGCAGCCGGGGGCTGGGCGCTGAGCCCCGCGTCTGCTGCCCCCGTCGGCAGCCGTCTAGCCCCTGGGTCTGCTGTGGGGCCCGCGGCGGGCGACGGGGTGGCCACCCATGCCAATGCCTCCCGAGGGGACGGCGCCACGGGGCCCGGGGACGGGGCGCCTCGGCCCCCGGAAGGTGGGGCTCTCTGGGGGTGCAGGCGGGGCTCAGGGGTGCCCGAGGGGCCGGGGGCTGAGGGCGGGAGGCACAGCGGCCTGTCGTCCAGTCTTCTCTGCGCCTGTGCTCCCGAGCCGCTGACCTTCTCGACCTGGAGGGGTAGGGGCCCAGCGCCAGGGTTCGGATCCCGCCCCAACCGCCGAGCCCAGCCCTCCCGAGCGTGCACAAAGACACAGGCGGGCTGTCAGGGAGGGGAGAGGCGAAAGGGGCTTGCAACATCAGGCCAGGCAGGACTGAGGGGGCAAAGCCAGACCAGACGCTCCCGCCGGGCCAGCTAGGCAGAAGCACAGCTCTGAGTCAGTAAACACGCGGGAGATGCAGCCCTCGCGCCCGCTGCAGCCACTCACCCGACGTCCCTGGTCCTGGGGCACCAGGGCCAGCACGGCCAGGACAGTGATGGGCACTGCCAAGAGCAGGGTCGCCAGCGAAGACGCTCCCGCCACAGCCAGCAAGAGGCAACCCCTCCCCCGGGGCCCCCCGCCCAGGCCCTGCAGTGCCCGCGTCCCCATGCAGACTCAGGAGCCGGAGCGGGCAGGGGCTTTCATAGCTCAGGGCACGGCCGCCCCTCCCTGCGGACCCACACACCTGCCTGGGACTTTCCGACGCCCCGGCTCCCCTCACCGAGCTTCCTGTTTACCCCGAGCTGGGGCCAGGGCGTGGGGTGCCTGGATGCCTGCGTTCTCTGAACTGGGGAAGGAGATGGGGCAGAGGGGTTTCAGGGAAAAGGAGAGGGGAGGGAAGGCCAGGCCCGGGGAGGGAAGGGGGCTTGCAGAGGGCCAGGCAGCGGGCCTGTGATGGCCAGGAGGGCTCCAGCTCCCCCACGTGCTCTTCGTGCCTGTGGACCTCACAGATCAGTGCTGCTGGAGGGAGGGCTGCAGGCGCGCGGGCACATACGCACGCACACGCACGCATGCACGCACACACACACGCATGCACACACACGAGCCCACGCGCGCGCACAGACACACACACCAGGGGCTAGGAGACTGAGTGGGAGGCCAAGCACGGACAGCTGTGTCTGCGGCCCCGAGGCGGCCCTCCGCACACACTGGCTGACTTCTTCAGGTCCCAGGTCCTGAAACTAGATGGGAAAGGCAGGGTTCAGCCAGTCCACAGTGATTGCGGCCTCAGTCTCTCTCTCTCCCTCTGGGGAAGGCCAACGGTAATGACACCTCCCTCAATACAAACTGAGAGAAGCAGGCAGAGGCGCGCTCCACCTCCAGGGAGCGCGCCCGGAATGTGCCTCATCCCTCCAGAAGCGTGAAATGTTTGGACGAATAAGCGATTCCTTTAATTCAGCGAACAGCACCAACCAAAGTAACGGCGGAGCTGATGGCTGATTGGAGCCTAGGGAAGAGCAGGTCCGAGGAAGCTGGCCGGGGGCTCAGGCCATCGCCCCTCCCTCATGGCCCTGCGGTCCCCGGTGGCGCAGTCCCGACCGACCGTGTTTGGGTAAGGAGGGACAGCACTGGGGATGTGCCGCCCTGCAGTCAAGTTACCCACTTGGCCCCAACCAAAGAGCCCTAAGGAGACAGAGGCACAGGGAGATGGGAAGGCTGGGCTGGGAGCAGAGCCGTTGACAGGCACCTGGCCAGTGGGTTCGATTCTGTAAGAAGCAAAGCAGCACTAATTTCAGATCCGTACATTTTACTCTATGCAAATTTCATCTTCCTGCGGCCAGAAGAAGAAAGAGGAAGCGAGGCCGAGCTTGAGCAACTTGGGGTAGCTTGCAGTAATGCTCACAGCTTGCGGAGCCGTGAGAAGCGGCCTGGGGACGCCTCGCTGGGCTGGGCCAGCCCTGTGCTGCAGGGCTGTGCTCCCAGCAGGATGACCGGAGGCCAGGGTCTCCCCCGACTCCTTGGCACGTGTGAGGCCAGGGTGGGGTGTGCAAGAACCCGGCTCAGCTGGAGAGAGGGAGGAGCCGGGCGGTGGGGTGCCTGACTTTAATCCCAGCGCCTGGAGGCAGAGGCAGGCTGAGGTCTGCGAGCTCAAGGCCGTCCCGGTCTACAGAGCAAGTTCCAGGACGGACATCCGGGGACACAGAGAAGCCCTGCCCCTTCCCGCAGCCCTCCAAAAAAGGAAAGCAAGATAGAAAAATGAGATAGGGATATGATTCAGCAAACGAAACAGTCCTAACAAGGTCAGGGTCCTCAACTCCCGAGGGCTCCGGCCCTTTAGCACGGTCCCCCCTCCCCCCGGAACCGTTTCACCGTTACTTCATAACAGTGAGTTGCTGCTTTTACAGATCGTAATGTGGATATCGGACACGACGGGTGGGTTCGGGACCCACGGCTTGAGAACCGAGACCTGGGTGCTGAGCCCGCGTTTCTGGGGCCTGAAGAGCTGGCCCAGCGAGAGGAGCACCTGCAGCTCTTTCGGGGGACCCGAGTTCAGGCGCCAGCGCCAGTCTGGGGACCCACAACCACCTGTAACTCCAGCCCCAGGGATCCAGCACCCTCTTGCGGCCTCTGATGGTGTTTGCTCTCCTGTTGTATATATACACAAACATACAATAAAACAATATTACCACTATTTAACATTACATTGATAATAATAAATTAATAAAAACAAATCTTTATATGTATACATTTGTTTTTCTAGATGTCCGAACTTTCTGCGTGTACGTGTGCGTGCCTGGGTGCCTGTGTGTGTGTGTTCATGAGTGTGAGTGCGTGGTCACTTCAGTGCTGGTCCAGGTCCGATGAGGCCTTCTCTGACCGCCCCTGTCACAGGCACTCCCTGTGATCTTCCGGGAATTCCCCTCCCACCTCCCACCCCACGGGAGGAATATGCACTCTCAGAAGTGGTTGCCACACCCATCTTTACGTGAGCTCTGCGGACTTGAACTCAGGTCTCCATGCTTGTGTATGTGGCGAGCGCTCTTTCCCAGCGGAGCTGTCTCCTCACCCAATGTTAGAGAGAGAGAGATGTAATTATAAAATATAAAAAGAAGAAAATCACTTAAATTGTGTCCTGTTTGTTCTACAGGGGGAACGCTGGGGTTGTGGGAAGGAAGTGCCACGAAGTTCCTGAATTTGTTCGCAAAAACATGCAGAGTGAACCAGGCACCACGTCTCCTCCGCCTCTGCCTCCATTTTAGCTGTTCAAAGACCTGGGGTGCTGCCCTCTGGCGCCCTTTCCTTCTCAGTCCCGGTGCCACCGAGGGCTTCGCCCAGGTCCTCACTCCCAGGCCGTTTAGGCCTTGGCTCTCTGCCTCCTGTGGGAAGTCCTCCCCGACCCCTGCAGCTTGGCCAGCGCCAGCCCGTCACCCACTTCCTGTCTCACATCTGTAAGCGGATCTGTGTGGCTGCCTCGGACTCCTCTGCTTCTGAAGCAGCTGCAGACGCCAGGGAAGCCCCCCCCCCCCCCCCCACACACACACACAACCCAGAGCTCCTGCACCAGAGGTGCCTGGGAGCACATGCCCAGATCAGCACACTCAGCAGAAGGGGGAGGCGGTCATCGGAGCCCCTGAGGAGGTGGGCATCTGTGTTGCAGGACGTGATCCCTTTGTGAACCCGGAGGCTGGGAACCGTCAAACCCTGTTTCTTGTTTGGTCTGTTTCAGCCCTGTCGAACACCTTAATCCAAGAGCTTTCTGTTTCCTGTAAGCAGGTACGGTTCAGCCAGCCCCAGCACACACCTGTAATCCCAGAGCTCTGTGTGCCTGGATCCAATGAAGGTAACCCTAGGTCAAGAGCAAGAAATCAGCTGACAGGGATTAAAGAGTAGGGAGGGACTTTGAGTTGAGGGGTACTTAAGACAGGGTGAAGAAGGAGCTTAAGCTCTCTGGCTTTGAGCTAGCAAGCCTTTGGCCTTGCATTTTTTGGCTTTTTCCTCCTAGACTGTCAGCTGAGCTAGTGAGCTTTTTGAGCTCTTCTGTGATGTGAGCTGAGCAGAAAGGTCAGCTGGGCACTTTCTCTGCCTCTTTTGGCAGTTTTTCACCCCAGCACCTGGATCCTGAGTCTTTATTGGTAAAATAGAATGATTGGGATTTTCTTTCTTTCTTTCTTTCCTTTCTTTTTCTTTTTTTCTTTTTTCAAGACAGGGTTTCTCTGTATAGCCTTGGGTGTCCTGGATTCACTTTGTAGACCAGGCTGGCTTCAAACTCAGAGATCTGCCTTGCCTCTGCCTCCCCAGTTGCTAGGATTATAGGGGATTTTCGATTCTTTAATAACAACATTTTGGCGCTCCAGTGAGAGGCACAACCCCACAGACAGAGAGATCGTGCCAGCCAAGGACAAACAAAAGCCATCAGATTTGGTAAGTCACCTGGGAAATCCTCAAGGAGAGAGTTAAGGATGGGAACTTAACAGAAAGCTTTGGGACCCTGTATGATGCTACTCTAGATGGCTTGAAGATGAAGCAGAAAATGAAAAGCTAAACAGCTTAGTGGAAATTGCCCCAATGCCAATTATGGTTGTTATTGGTATTTTATACTTTATTCTTAATAACCGTATAGCTCTCTGTAGTTGCTCAAAGAAAAAATGAATGCAAGCCTTTGAAGGAAAACTAGAGAGACTTATCAATGGGAATAAAACTACTCAGATGCAGACAGAGGAATTTTGACAAGTCTTAGAAAGAGTTATAAATGAGAACAAGAAAAGTTCTCAGACACAGACAGGATTTTAGACAGGAACCCCTCATGCTACCACATAGGGAAACTGAAGGGGGTCAGCCCAAGGTTGTTAGCTTCAGCACACCCAGTTACACACCAGGCCACCCAGGAGGCGGGAGTGCCCCAAGGTTCTAACGGATGGGAATGGCCTCCTCTAGACACATCAGATCTGAGGAGATCCACGCGGTTGTCTCCGATGGTGTGCATCCATTCTAGGTTGAGCAGATGTTAAATTCATCAACTCAGAACAGGGTTATTCCCCAAGACTACAGATTTGACAACAGCAATATTGGAACCTGCTCCTCAGTTACAATAGTGACCATGGTGGAAAGAGGAAGCAAAAGCCGTAGGAAAATGAAGTCAGGCCAGAGGTATTGATGTTTCCCAGTGTCAGTCGCTAGGCGAAGGCCAATATGCTGAGTTACAAAGGCAGCTTGAATTGCAGGGTCGCTCCTTGGCGCTGTGTCATTTAGTAGCTTGAAATGCTTGGGATAAGGTTGAAGAATCAAGAAAGAGATCTGAGTCGTTTACTAAAATTAAACAAGGCCCCAAAGAAACCTTTACTGATTTTTGCAAGAACCGACTTCAGCTGTAAGTAGAATAGTATCAGATTCAGAAGCCAGGAAAGTACTAAATGAAACTAAGCTCTTAAAAATGCCAAGTCAGAATGCAAAGGAGTAATCAGACCTTTAAAGGCAAGATCAGCACCAGCAGAGGGATGAATAGAGTTAGGGCTGATATTAGATCTCATGTTTATGGATAGGGAGGTAATTTCTAAAAGAGTCAGGAAAAATCAAAATGGCAGACATTTTAATTGCGGTGAGCAAGGCCATTTGAAAAGGGAGTGTAGGCGCGATGTTCCTAGAAACTGGTTTTTCTAGGGATAATCCAAAAAAAAGGCCCCGGCCTTCTGGATATGCAGAAGATGTGACAGGCTAGCACTGGACTAAGG